CTAAATACCATGTGCAAGTGCTTCTAGGATAAGCATGTGCTCCAACCAAGATTGGGTTTGGATACCATGAGCAAGTCCTACCAGGTGCATTATCATGATATTGGAATCCCTGGAAGAGACTGGTTTTGCACCCCGGTAAGCAGCTCTGGGAGCAGTCCTGCTTCACCAGGTTTGGTAGTATTGAGTCTGTTGCAGGTTAATACTCTCTACAGCTTGCAGAACACTATGGCCAGCACCAAGCACTAGGACATATTTAACCCCATCACACATGTGAAATGTACGATGCCTTAATAGCACGTGGAAGGAGGAAAAGAAAATGATCCCCTGTTTCCTTCTCTTTAGCATTGTCTTAGAAACACCCATGACCTGGGGCTTCTCTTCTCACACTTTTTTTTTTCTTCAGCATCTGAGCCTGGGGTGAGGTTGAGGTAAAAACTGAAGTCAGTCCCTACACTCCTGCCTGTGTGCTCAAGGGGAGAAGCACACCCTCATGTTAAATGACTCAAGGGCATTTCCAGAACAATCTAGGAGGATTGCTTTGTGGGGGATTAATGACCTAAGGGATTATTTCAAAGAACTGTTGGTTAATAGGATCATTACAGAATTATAGTCCATATGCCTCTTCAATTGTGATGATGAAAAAGGAGTCTGCAAAAAATTGAGAGTGTGTGAATTATCATACTGTTAATTGCTGGACTAAAAGCGATCAATAGACTTCTTGTTAAGAACACCTAGAGTTCACCTTATTCGATTTTTCAGAGTGGGTGTTACCAGATAGCGGTTATAGCTGAGGGCCATAAAAGAAAGAAAGCTTTTATCAGGAGAGCAAGGTTGCATCCATTTGAAAGGATGCCTTAGCCTCTCTCAGGAGGCCCTCCATAAGCCCTCACTAGAAAAGGTTGTTTGTGACAGGAACGTTCTTCCCTTGATCAGAAACATCTACGGTTCCTTGAGAGTGACATGTAAATTACTCTCACCTGTGAGCTAGCAAAGCCCCCCCCCCCCCCCCAGGGAGCACTGCTGTCCATGCCCCTCCCATCTCAGTGCTCTCCTCCAAGCTGAAAGCTGCTCACTGAGTACGGGCAGCTGATTTCCTACTGGTTGTTTTCTGGCACAGACAGCACCGTATGCCAGTCAGTTATCAGGGCAAGACAAAAGTGATAGTGCATTTCCCTAGAAGCAGGCCTCAAGCAATGAAGAACGCTCCTGTCTCTCTAGAGATAATTCTAAGGTGTGATCTGCACATACTCCCCGAGTTCCCTGATGGACTCAAGCCTCAGTTGCTCCCAGTTGTAAAGTTTACTCACTGTTGCCCTCCTACTCTTTCCAGCTCCACCTTCCCACTCCCTGCGGGTGCTTCCTGGCCTGACTTTCCACTGACTTGCAAATCTTTGTCTCAGAGTTCGGTTGTGGAGGAATCCAAACAAAGACACTCAATACCAAACCTTGTTTTAAATTAATCTCAAATATTTGTTGCTCTTGTTTGTACCTAAAGATTGGGAGCACAAACATATGTATATACTTCTCATTTAAACACAAAGCTTCAGCTCTGGCCAGTTAGGCTCAGCAGTTAGAGTGACAGCCTACAGACCAAAGGGTCATGGGTTCTATTCCTGGTCAAGGGCATGCACCTGGGCTGCAGGTTCCATCCCAGCCCCAGTCAGGGTCATGCAGGAGGCAACCAATCGATGTGTCTCACATTGATGTTTCTGTCTGTCTCCCTCCCTCCCTCTCTTCCACTCTATCTAAAAATCAATAGAAAAATATCCTCAGGTGAGGATTAAAAATAAATAAATAAATAAACAAACAAACAAAAAACTTGTATCTTTTTCTTTCTCTTGGCTCCAAATGAAAAAGAAGGTAAAAAATCTCTAGTTTTAGAATACAACCCACATCTTACCTATCTGGTGGTCACCTGAGCATCTCAACTGATGAAAAGGGGAATAGGAGCTCAAATCTGCAGCCTGTAGGTCCTTTAAAAACCTGCTACACAAAATTTAGTCTTTGATGTCAACCTGAAGTTTATCAGAAAAACAGAATGTTGGACCCCACCCAGACCTACTGAATAGTACTGCTTTTTTAAAAAAAAATTTTTTTCATTTAAAATGGTGATTTATTGGTTTGTTTTCTTTTTTGCTTAATTTGTATTGGATCACAACTACTCAGCGTTGGATTGATTATATTTCTGGTTCATGACTTTTTTAATTGAATTTATTAGGGTGACATTGGTTAATAAGATTATATAGGTTTTAGGTGTACAATACTACATCACATCATCTGTATATTGTAGTGTGTATTCACTACCCCAAGTCAAGTCTTCTTCCACCACCATTTGTCCCCACTTTACCCTCTTCTGCCTCCTCCAACACCCCCTTCCCTTTGGTAATCACCATACTGTTGTTTGTGCCCATGAGCTGGTTTTTTTGTTTTTGTTTTTCTTTGCTTAATCTCTTCACCCTTTTCACCCAACCCTCAACCACCTCCACTACATTTTTTTCTTTTTAAAAAAGATCTCCAGGTGATTCATATGCACATTACAGATTGAGTGTCTTGCTCTCAGACCCAAGGCTGGTCTTTTGCAGACAAAGAAAGCATATTTTCACCAGCAGATCTTAGCAGCTGCAGTTCTCTGCTTAGTTGTAGTGGACTCCTGCTACATCGAGTAACTCAAAGAGTTCTAGAATCTCCCTTTAGGTTGGGCTACCTGGGCATAGACGAGATTTTACCAGTTGCCACCAGGTGTAATAGCAGTTATGTGCAAAAACGTACTGCAGCCACAGAACCAAGAACACATGCAATGGAACAAGTTGAGTGTGTTACTGGTTTCCGGAAGAAAGAACATGCATCATGGGGAATCCTGGGGTGTCTCAGCAAGAGTTTGTCAGAAAAGACTTATTAAAGGATTTGAGTTTTGGTTGAGTGATTTGGAGAGGGTCCAAGGAAGTCAGACTTTGCAGTGAATTGAGTGCTATCAGAAAGCAGGGATAATTCTGCACTTGGGTATCTTGGTAAATCTTATCTACAGGGAAGGCCGACTAAAGTGAAGCTAAAGATGTAGCTGGCGAAACCACAGAGAAAGTGAAACACAATATAAGCCTGCTTTTCCCTTTGTGGGTCTCAGAACCCCACTGCCATATTTTATCCCCCTGATTTGAATCTAGGGATTAAAGATATAAACTATTTATACAACATGGCCCTTATATAAACCAAGTATTTCTTTTAATGTCCAACCCAAGAAATACTGGTATGTTCTATCGTAAAAAAAAAAAAAAAAGCCAAAATGGTATCATTCAACCATTTGTTGAAGAAAAAATTCTTAGTTCTTGTTGCCTAAAGATAAATGGCAAAAACAATGTCTCTGCTCTAATAGTGTATGTAAATAGTGAAGAGGGATAGATAATAAACAAATAAATATAATAAATATTCAAACAGTGAAAGTACTATGACTAAAATAAAACAGTGGAATAGAGGATAATGGAGCAGGGGGCTGCTTTGGTTAGTGTAATCCACTTTGGTTAGTGTAGTCTGGGAAGGTGTTCTGAGGACATGACATTAGAGGTGAGACCTGCATGAGGTGCAGGAGCCCACAATGTGCAGATCCGAAGAAGGAGTCTTGAGGACCGAGAGAACAGACAGTAGAAAGCCCCTGAGTTTGGGACAAGATAGGTGTTTTCTAGAGTCATGATTTAGGAAGGGTTACCGAAGAAGCTAGAGGGTAGAGAGATGATGCCCACAATTTTCTTTGCAATTTTTGAAACTGCAAAGTTCAAGATGCCTAAAAACAGCTGGCAGGTGGATATTTGAGTTTGGGATTTGAGGCAAGAAAAGAAAACTTTGTTCTATTATGTTGAATGAATAGTGTCATGCTGAATATTTTTGCATGCAGCACTATTTCTGATTATTTCTTTAAATTATGCTCTCAAAGTGGAACATTTTGACCAAACAGTAGAAGCCTTATATTCATTCTTTACCATATGTACTTTGCAGTCTCTTTACTTAGCTTTCAAAATATTTATTTGAAAAAAATAAAAATAATTATTCACATGGCAAAAATGTACAGACATCACTATGTTCCTAAATATAATCATTCACTTTATTTTTTCTTTATTGATATTAGAGAGAGAGAGGTAGGGAGAGGGAGAGAGAGATAAAACATAGATGAGAGAAAACATCGACTGGCTGCCTCCCGCATGCCCCCCACTGGGGATTAGGCCCACAATCTGGGTATGTGCTCTGATCCGGAATCGAACCGGTGACCTCTTGGTGCACGGGTCAACGCTCAACCACTGAGCCACACCGGCCAGGTTAGCCATTCACTTAAAGTTTCTTGTTTGCACATGAAACTTGAAAATGTTATATACATAATTTATATGTACTTTAAAATATTTTTAAATAAGTGAAACAATCATGTTAACCTATATAATTAACAGCCATTATTAGAAACACCAAAAATGTAGGCGAGGCACAGAGAAAGTGCATCTAGAGTGTGTGCACACAGACAAGAAGGATCTGGGGGACCCTGCCCTGCTGAGTGATAGAGGTGTAATTGTTTCCAAACTTGGGAGCTCCAAGGTGAAATCTGAAATTGGCCCCCATACACAGAGGGCAAGGAGAGAGCTAAGAAAGAGGCAGGCCTCTCCAGATTGATAGATGGCAGGTTTAATAAACAAGGGACCTTACTTCCGAAACCTGTCTCTGAACAGGCCTGTCAGAATCTTAAAAGTTTTTATATAGAGCACTTAACCAAGTCCTGTCACTCATACTGTCCCGATGGTTTCAATAACACATGGCTCTCTCAAGGCCGTGTCCTTGAAAACGGCTCCAGCTGTGGGAATGTATATTCCAAGGACAGGTGAAGGAGTGAGGAGTCTCCAATTGCCTGGGTCCATTTCGAAGGTAAACCAGCAGTTACATCTTCTTGATAACCTTGATAACCTCCTCCAAAAGTTACTTAATCTCTGTAAAACTCCATTTTCTCACCTGTTAAGTGGAGGTAAGAACTGCTACAGCAGCATGTACACTAAAACTGGGACGATGCGGAGAAGATTAGCATGGCCACTGTGCAAGGACGACATGTGAATTCGTGAAGCATTCCATATTTTTCCCACTCGCACCACACACAAGAATAAACCCAAAATGGATAAAAGACTTGGATGTAACTTTTGAAACCACAAAAATCCTGGAAGGCAATGTAGGCAGAAATCTCTCAGACATCATACATAGGGAAATGGAATACTATACAGCTGTAAGAAAGAAAGTTCTCTTACCCTTTGAGGTCTCATGGAGGGACCTGGAGAGTATTACGCTGAGTGAAATAAGACAGTTAGAGAAAGACAAGTACCACATGATCTCACTTATTTATGGAACATCATGAACAAAATAAGCTGTTAACCAAAATAGATCCAGAGACATGGAAGTAGAGAACAGATTAACAAACCTCAGAGGGATGGGGAGTGGGAGGTGTGGGAAGAGATAAACCAAAGAATTTATGTGCATATATGCACAACCAACGGACACAGACATTAGGTTGGGGAAAGCAGGAGGGGGTTGGGGGCTGGGAAGAGAGGGTCAATGGGGAAAAAAAGGGAAACATCTGTAATACTTTCAAGAATAATTTTAAAAAGAATACTTAAAATTTTATCTGGTACATTGTAAGAAATAATACTTTAAACATGCTTAAATAGTGCCTGGTATTGTATAAGTATTTAATATTTGAAGAAACTTCTTCAAACCAGAAATATTCATATTTCTGACTGTTTGGTCTTTTGCACTAATAAGGCTAAAAATTTGATTGAAAGTAAAAAGTAGTACATTTTTTAAACAGTAATGCAAACCAGCCACCTCTCTCTCCAGGTGACATTGCTGGTTGCTACTGACCTTTTAGATGTGCTACACAATTACTTTTACATGCAAAAAAAAAAAAAAATTCAGTAACTCTTAAACTTTAATTAACATAAGAATCGCCTAGAAAGTTCATTCAACTGTTAAAATCTTAGGTAACATGCAGAAAAGAAGCACTAAAAAAGGTAAGCCTCATTTTTTTTATAATAAACTGTAGTACAATGTAGTTGTCCTACTTGGACTGACGCTGTCTCTATTTTGTTACTCAAATAGCTTGAAGCTAATAAAATGACTCTTGTTTTCTTTTTCTGCCATTCTGTAATTCAGAGCTTTTGTGAATTTAGACAGATCTTAAATGTTAACCAAATGTTACATTAACTATGTTTAGTAACTTATGAATAATAATTATAACTTAGAAGCATTTGATCTATCCCTTGTAGTTTATATATGATTAACATATTAGTAGTGTAGAAGGTAATATTCACTCTCAACTCTCTTAAATGTCATTCCACAATAAAAATAGATTTAAAATGGTATTTTGTGACTTCCGATCAAGATGGTACATAGGTAAATGTGGTATCATCTCCCCCCACAACCACATCTAAATTACAACTAAACTACAACACAACCATCACTCAGAACCACCTGACACCGAGCTGAATGGAAGTCCTACAAGTAAGGAATTAAAGAACCAGCCACATCCAGACTGGTAGGAGGGGCAGAGGGGTGGACGGGCTGATCCCACACCCACGTGTGGCAGATAAAAATCAGGGGGACACCTTGGCTGGGAAGGTCCTCCCTGAGGAGTGAGGGGTCTTTGTCCCACACCAGGTGCCCAGCTCAGGGTTCCAGTGCCAGGAAGAGAATCCCCATCACTTCAGGCTGGAAAAACCAGCAGGAACTGAGGCTGAGGGAGGCTGAGGCTGTGAGAGTCCCAGGCAGTTCCTCTTAAAGGGCCCGCACACGGACTTACTCAGACTTGCTCCCTCTGAGCTCAGAGGGGAGGCAGCTTGAGGGGCGACAGAGTCATACAGGGAAGAACTGAGCCTTTTGGCCTTGGGACAAGGGCTGAAGAAGCAGCTTTCTCCTGGACAGATGTGCTAGCAGAGGCTGATGTTCCTTTGGTGAGCCCTTCCCTGGGGCAGCAGACAGCCACCATATCTGGGACTCCAGCAACCTGGCTCACACTGTTGGCCCCGCCCTGATGATTCCCTGAGGCCCTGCCCCACCCAACTTTCAGGCCCACCCAAGCTGTTTCCAAAGGCTTTACCATAGGATTGGTCTGTCGTGCATCCTACTTCAGAGTTTCCTAAAATCTCTCAAACAAGCAGCATCTTGTCTCAGTGAGCCCCATGCCTCTCATTAAGTGGCCCCAGGCCTGGCACTAGAAACAACCAGCTTTGGTTCACAACTTGGCTTTTCCTGGACACCTCCAAGCCCAGTACAAGAAGCATCCATCTGCAGATCACTTTGTAGCTTATGCCTGGTGGCCCTGGATAGAACACAGGCAGTGGCTGACCTGCCTCGGAGCCAGAAGACCCAGTGGGCAGCTTCAGACCACATCAAAGCACCACCACCCAACCACCTCCACAAGTGACACACTCAATGAGCAGACTCAGTCAGTACCAGAGCCCTGATGAAGTAAGTCTTGCTCTGTGTGGTGGGCTCCTACACAGCTGATCGATCCTCCAAGGTAGTCCAGAGGCCAGTGGTCAGTGGGCACAGCTGGTCCTTGCAGCTGATCATCCTGAGTAAATCGCTCCCATTGGCATGCCAACAGCAACCAAGACTCAATTACAACAGAAGGGTGTACAGTCCACACTAGAGGTGCACCTCAAGGACCCAGCTGGAGTGATCAGGGAGACTGTGCCATTGGATCCTACAGGACACCTACAACAATAGGCCACCCTACAAAGCCTAGGAGACATAGCAACTCTACCTAATACATAGAAACAATCACAGAGAAGCAGCCAAAATGAGGAGACAAAGAAATGTCCCAAATGAAAAAAAAGAACAAAACTCCAGGAAAAGGACTAAACAAAATGAAGATAAGCAATCAATCAGATGCAGAATTCAAAGCACTTGTTATAAGGTTGCTCAATAAACTTGGTGAGACATTCAAAGAACTAAGTAAGACCTTCAAGAAACTTAAGGAGACCTCCAAGGAACTTAGCAAGAACATCAACAACATCAAACAGAACCAGTCAGAAATGAAGGATGCTCTAACTGAAATAAAGAATAATTTACAGGGAATCAATAGGAGAGTAGGTAAAACCAAGAAGCAAATCATTGATTTGAAATATAAGTAAGCAGGAAACACTCACTCGGAACAGTAAAAAGAAGAAAAGAATAAAAAAAAATGAGGATAGTGTAAGGAGACTCTGGGACCACTTCAAGCATGCCAACATTCGCATCATAGGGGTGCCAGAAGGAGAAGAGAGAGAGCAAGAAATTGAAAACCTATTTGAAAAATAATGACAGAAAATTTCCTAACTTGGTGAAGGAAACAAGTATACAAGTCTAGGAAGCACAGAGAATCCCAAACAAGATTAACCCAAAGAGGTCCACACCAAGACACATCATCATCAAAATGCAAAAGGTTAAATACAAAGAGAGAATCTTAAAAGCAGCAAGAGAAAAGCAGTTTGTTACCTTCACATAAGCTTTACAATCCAGAAAGGAGTGGCAAGATGTATTCAAGGTGATGAAAACAAAGACTTACAACCAAGATTGCCCTATCCTGCAAAGCTATCATTTAGAATCGATGGACAAATCAAGAGTTTCCCAGACAAGAAAAAACTAAAGGAGTCATTACCACCAAACCAGTAATATATGACATGTTGAAGGGTCTTCTTGAAGGAGAAGAAGGACAAAAATATGAACAATAAAATGGTAATTAATACATATCTATCAACAATTGAACATACAAACAAAATGAGCAAGTAGAAGAGAAACTGACTCATAGATGCAGAGAACTTTTTGTTACTTACCAGATGGGTGGGGGCTGGGGGATGGGTGAAAAAGATGAAGGAATTAAAAAGTACAAATTGGTTGTTAGACTGATGAGCCTCAAAGGGAAGCAGGGAGGGAGGGTGGGATGAGATAAACCAAAGAACTTCTGTGCATATGTGCATAACCAATGGACACTGACAATAGTGTGGGGAAGGCAGGAGGGGGGCAGGATTGGGGAGGAGGGGTCAATGGGGAAAAAAGGGAGAAACATCTGTAATACATTCAACAATAAATATGAGTTTAAAAAAATGGTTTTTGTTGTTTTTGTTATATAAATACATAATCATTATGAAATAGTTGAGTAGTACATAAAATGGTAAAGAACTTAAACGTAACATATAATCCCAACAGCTTGGGGTAAAAACCGTTAGCCATATGATAACAATGTGTCCATGCATTTCTGTATGAATATAAATCCATACACATGTATATGTAGTTATGTGTATGTGTATTAATATATATAAATATATATATAATTTTATATAAAATAAATTATGCTGTTTTATCTTGAACTTTTAATAAAGTTATCTTTTGTTTTTTGCTTGTTTCTCTTTTTCCCTTCTTGTCCTCTTATTGCTATATATTCCCAATATTGTGTCTCCATCCCCTACCATGTAACCAATTTATAATGAAATATTTATCTTTCTCATATAAGCAAGTATATAAATTTAACATGGTTAATTTTACAGAAACATAATCATCTCATATACAACTCTTTTGCACTTTCTTGTTTACAACTGGTATAGCTCTCACTTGTTCTTTTGAATCTACATCCAACACTTAATCGTTGTGACTTTGGAAAAATCATTCTGATCATGAGTTCTCATCTGTAAAATGGGGATACTTATAGTACCCAATTCATTGGTTTTGTAAAAGATAATAAAGTAATATATGGAGTGCTTACAACCTTACATTACTCAAGGTAAGCTTCATTAAAGCATTAGCCATTATTATTTTTAATAGCTGCACAATATTATTTCATGGCATAGATGTCCCAAAATGTATTTAGTCAGGAAACCTTCAGTGGCATAGGATCTAGGCAGTGATCATCAATTCATCCTAAACCCTTTGAAGATTAGGTTGGCTATCAGAAAGACAATATCTGAACTCATTAATTAAATTTAACATTGAGCAGTGGGAGAAAAGTAGGAAAACAAGATTTTTTCTGCCTGTAGATGTGATGAGGTTAAAGTCAATCGGATTTCTTTTATTCAGTAAGCAACTTTTTCTTTCTCTCTACAGTTTGTAAA